TGCAGGGAAGAAAAGGAAGATTATGCCCTGGGAAAGAGGATAACTACCTGTTCATTTTTTGTAGAGATTTAGAAGCTGTTCTAAATATTATTATTGGTTGTATACAGTTCCCTGTGTATGCAATTAATATTTTATTCCAGATGAAAAAACTAACAGCTCTTTAGAAGTTGTTTCAGTTTATGGAAGGAATCATTTTAGGGCATTACCTTTTATAGAAGGAAACTGGACTTTAACTGTGATATCCTTTCCTGTTGCATATCCTTGAGGAATGACCGAAAGAACACCTGGATGGCCAGATGAAAAAACGAGATGCCGCTTGCCTCAGACTAACTAAACAGTGGTCATCTGGCTGCAGGGTGGTGTGTTTTGAAGGGGAACCTGTAATAATTCCACAGTCCTGAGTTTGAAGCTGGTAGCTCTTTTCAGAGGTACCATTTCTGTGATGATTGGCCAGCTGATGGCATTAACCATATTCATTGTCTATTAAAACCTGTGCATACAGGTTCTAGTCACTTCTGATAACATACCTGCTTCTTGCTGAGTATGAAGCTATGAAGTGTCTCTGCAAACAATATCCAGTGAAGAGTTAAAACTGACTGTGCCCTTGAGTTGAACTAGAAGGAACTGCATGGGTCTCACAAAAGCTGGATATGATATTTACAGTTAACGTTATACTGATAAAGAATGTTATGGCAATGCACGTGGATCAGCCTTATCTCCGTTTGTACAGATGTGTACTGATACTTGAAATAAGGCTTCATTGAGATGTCAAAATACCTGTGTAGTGCTTGTTGTTTAGAGGAATGTGTAGGTGTCGCTGGTATCTCACTAAGGTCATCTTTAACTTTTTCATAAATAAAAAGAAGCCTCTAAGAGAGAAGTTGATACATGGAAAACAGACGGTGGTGACACTGTTCATGGTAAAATTTCTAGTCCTAACTGTAATACAGAAATGAATTGTTATGGTTTTGAAGCTAGCAGAAATTTGTGTCTAGTGAAGCATGGACCTCTGGCTTGTTGCCATCCCGAAATAATGCTCTGATTTCTGGGGAAGTGTTTATGTCTGAAAGGGGAGCCAAAACTTGTTGTAAATTGGCAGACACTCCCAGAAGGATGGTGGCAGGTAGACTGAGCATCCAGGCTAAACTTCTTTTGCTTTCTGTTAGCAGTAAATTCGTGGTTGGTTGACTTTGACATCATCTTGTGTAATGTCAGTGGCTGAAGGTTAAATTGTGTAAACCTCTATGTGACTTTCTTGGTCCTGAAGTCCTTCACCCTCTGCTCTCCAGAGGAAGACCCCAACCCTCCCATACTGGGATTATTAGGATTCCTGGGTCAGGAGCAGAGGGCTGTGAAGTGGAGGTGCACCTCCAGTTTCTACAGATGGCTGATGCCATCGATGTATATTAACCCCTTGCATTAACATGGAGCTAATATTTTTTGTTTACCGAATGCTGTTGTGCTCTATTCTTGCCTAGGCTTCCTTCCTTCATCTGTAGTAAATGCTGAGATTCAGTTTTTGAAGGCCAAATTCTCACCATGGATTCTGTGTTTAGTTTGTTGCATTTATTTCCCCCCCTCAGCTCAGAGTCCTTCTGGAATAGCAGTTTTATTCCAAGATCTCTGAGTCCAGTTTGGATTCCTGCTTGTCCTTACTGGAATTTGGATGCTTCAAAGTTTATTTTGTTGTCTTTTTTTAAAGAAGTCACCTGTTAGTCAGAAAAGACTCCTGACCTTGAGTAATAACTTGGAATATTTCAGAATCCTATCTGTAATGTGACCCTTGGAATAACACCAAATATTAACACCAAACTGTTGCTTGGTTTTGTTGTTGGGGTTGTCACGTTGTTTTAGTTTAATTCCAGAAATTGTGTTTAAACTTAGTATCTGTGTTTCTACAAGCTTTTGGTTCCTGTGTCGATCAGGCACAATAAGAGTCATCATATGAGTAGATTTATCTGTCAGTATTGCCATTAAGAATCCATTTCTTTAAGCTGTAGCGAGAGTGTGCTAGGCCTGGCTGTACACAGTGGGGTGTGGTATCTCTCACTTCCTTCAGGGGCTGAATGTCACTGTAAGAATGAGGGTAAAGTTTTAGTAACGAGGCATCGCTTGAAGCTGCTCCTCCATTCCCACCCGTTTCTTTGCAGACTTAGTTGCCAAGCACAACATTTGGTTTTCTGACTCACTTTGAAGTGGGAACTGATTTTGATGCATATGTTGCAAAGCAGTGTCAGGGGGTTTTTATGTTGAAATAGCATAGTTAGACTCCTTTCCTTAAAGAGTGTAATGACAGTAGTTTGTCAAACAGATGTGTATTTTGCAGTAAAGATTCTGGCCGAGAGACTCGTTTCAAATTCAGTTTGTGATACAGCCTGCACAGAGATCCCAGTTTGTCTGTTCCTTCAAAAGAAAAGTTTCCCTTCCCCTCCAGTGATGCTGCTTACGAGCTTGGATACTCAAATGTGTTGTATACAGGAGTATTTTAGTCGTGTGCTCAGAAACATGAAACTTCTTTGAGTAGCTTTTGGAGTACCTGGCATTCCTTAGCCAGCTGCTGTTGTGAAGGAAGAGAGGGTCACCTGGGTTTCTGCAGGACAGATTTCACAGCCACACAAGTGGTTCCCTACCTGGGGATTTATGATGCTGAGTGTTAGTTTAAAAACAGTTCCTAGATAACGGCTGTCCTCAGAATGTACCATGGATGTTTCAGACCAGATGCATCTTGGTGCTCTGTCTCTTCACCTTGCTTGCTCTGTGTCTGTAGCACCCACCTGTTTTCTGTGACAAGTGGTACAGTTAGTGCTATCTCCTGAGGTACCTGCAACTATAAATTTGCCTTCTCAAGCTTTTTTTTTTTTTGGTACTTCTGCTTACATACCTTATAATCCTCCAGTTTCACCTTGTCTGCTATCAAGCTGAATTGAGCTGTGAGGATTATTTCTATATTTATAGCTTTCCTTAGAAAGCAAGTGGCACTTTACATGTCCTGTAAGAACAAGTGGGTTGAGTCAGAAGATGCTCAGTTTGGATGTTCCTGCTGTTGGGGCATGCTGGAGAAGAGAAAGAACGTCATATGTGAAGATATGATCAGAAAACTTGAATTGTGGGATGTTTCCACAATGACACATTAATTTGGACCTCTATATGGAGCGTTAAAACAGCCAGGAAAGAAGGCAGTCAAGTTGTTGGCTTGTTTGTTAAAGGACAGGGCATTTTTCTGTCATGGATATGAATTCTTCCCCAGCATAGCCACAGGCAGTGGTCTGTCCACTGAGGAGGATGAAGGTGCTGTGCAATGGCTGCATGGGATTTCCCTCAACTAGGGCAGAAGCTTTTCTTCAAATTTTCTGGATTGCAGTGACTGTTCTTGGAGCCTGTGCAGCACTTGGTGTGCAGTTCTCTTTTGCCAACATGTATAAGAATTACTGTCCAAAATGCTTTTGTTTACTATCTTGGATTAAACTTGGTTTAACAGACCAGTGTGTATATAGGACTTAGTGTAGATGCTTTGCATACTGCTTGGGATATAAAAGACTTCAGACTTTCCATATCATGAGCCAAGCATGGGGAAAAGGGAAGGCGCAGATCAGCAGCTGACATGCAGTCAACGCTTCATAGGCACTTCTTGGCATTGCTGCCCCTCCAAGGTCTAGATAAGAGCATTTGCTTTAAACCTCTGCTGTGTAGAGTGGTGGTTGTTGGCTGTGTGCTGTGAATGAGATTTGTTGTCAGTCACCTTCTTTCTTACAACTGCAGTTCACTGTTGTGGATTAATTGTAGTTGAGGAAACAGTACTTTACTTTTGAAAAAGTTACAGGCTTGTAAGCTTTCCTGCATTCTTTTTTCTTTACAGTACTGGTTTAATTTGTCATGTGAATGACACATGACAGAAGGAAAATCTTTCTAGGCTAAAGCCATGTTCCTTATAAAAATTATCTTTTTTTTTTTTAATGGCTGGCTGCCTGCCACCCAGGAGAGGGAAGGGAAATGGTAAATTCCTAGTAGAAATTTGCCACTTGCTTAACTGATCACACTATGTCTAGTTTAACTTAAAACTTGGGACAAAAGCAGGCATTTTGCATCCTTTGTGTTAACTGGCAATATCTGGTGTGTGTAGACTTGTAATCCTGGTTAACTTATGTGTTGGTTGGTAAGCCAGCCACAGCTGAAGCCAATTCTAATTCCCCCTACATGTGAGAAAGCATAGAACTCTGGAATATTGGAAGTACTTAACCCCAGTCTAATTCTGACTATCGCTTAGTCCACTGTAGAGCATAGATTAGTGAGTAAACCTCACCACATCAGTGAGGTGTATTCAAGGAAAAAAACAAACACCCCCAAAATGAGAGAAACTTGCTGTAATGCTGCTCTGCTGATGAAGCCACGTGTTAACTGACTTCCTGAACATCTGATGTGTGGCTTGTACTGCTCTTCTGATGTGGACGTGTAGCAGTCCCGACCCCAGTTATGGCTGCTGCAGCATTCTTCTGCTGTCTTTTTAAATAATTCGTAGCTGTTTGATGCAAGCTGCTCGGTTTCCTTTGTTTGTGTTGCAAATCTCACAAGTGTGAGGCAATAGTTCCATATTGCTGGTTTTGTTAAATCTCTTCAGATTTTTCTCTTGCAGTCAGATTTTATTTTTGGTTCATGTATCAGCTCTTTGGTGAGTGAGTACTGGTCCATGCAGTGACTCTGGAGCTTTTCAACAGCTTGAAGTCTTACTCATTCAGTTTTATGCAGTATCAGTACTACACAGAGTGTGTTTTTACTGACAGGGGTTCAGAGTGAATGATGTGGGAGTTCTGCTGAATATTTCTGGCACAAATTCAGTGACTGTGAGGAAGTACACAAACTTGAACAGTGAATGAAAGGATAGCTGGGGGGGAGGAAGGGGAAGGGTGTTTTGTTTGCTTATGTGAGCTAAATTGGATTAATTGAGTTGAGTTGGGTGAACAAGTAGCAGTTCTGATGTTTTCTGTTCTTTGTTTTAGTGCCACAATGGCAACTGCACCTTACAACTATTCCTACATCTTTAAGTACATCATTATTGGTAAGTATCACTGCGCATGTACCTGTTCATGTCCATGTGTATATGCATGACAACCTGCCTACAAACCCAGTGGCCGTGCTACCTGTGACTTCTGTTGCATGCTACGTGCTCTATAATAGTGATTCTTCCAGTAGTTAATTGTTCAACCTCAGCCCCTCACAGATCGCCACGCTTGCTCTAAAGCTTTAGCACATAGAAAGGCAAATGCCGTTGTGTGCTGCAGAATTGAGAGCTGTGTGCTTGGCAGGAGGTGAGCTGAGAGTGAATATATACAGTACAAAAGTGGATAAGTTTAAGGAGCGTAGCCTGGTGTAGAGCATCGCCAGCTCCTGAGAAAGGAGCGGCTGCTGGTGTCTGTAGCATTCGTTGTGGGATGAGGGTGAAGAAAATGTGCTTGTTACAGCAATGATGTGGTGTCAGCCTTAACTGTTCTTTCTGTGACAGGGGACATGGGTGTAGGAAAGTCCTGTTTGCTTCATCAGTTTACAGAAAAGAAGTGTGAGTATCTCAATTCACAATATTTATTCTAACTGGTATGTTCGATCCCTCTTTCCTGCCTTTTTGTTTTTACTATGCATGAGCTTGGTGTGGTGTCTGTCTTCATCTTGTATGGGTTTGTATTATACTGAGTCAGATTTTTGTTTTGGTTCCTGCAGATGTAGAAATAAAATGTTGATGTAGTAATGGCAAAACTGCTGCTTCAGTCAGTCCTGGGAAGACCATGTATGGTTTTACAGATTTTTCCGGGGAATTTTGATATGGAACAAAGTGAAATTTCTTGTCTGAAATGTGCATGTTTTCAGTATTGGTGTAGCTTGAACACAAGTGGTTGGAGTTTTTTAGTGCTTTTAAGGACTTCAAAAGAAAAAAGGATTAACTTTTCTTTGGCTCTTTGCTGCTACTCCAGTGTGCAAACATCAGCCCCGTAGCTGCTGTGTGACCCAGGACACTTGGACCACTGGGTGTGGTGGTGTTTAAGGCTCACGGCAATCTCTCTCAACTGTAACATTTTTCATGTGTGCTATTGTGACTAATAAAGAATTAGCTTCAATTCTTCGTAATAATTCACGTTGCATTGGGGTTTGCAGCAGCTGTTGGCTCTTACAGCTTTCCATGTAGCTCACACTCAATGGATAAGCCTGTAGGTATTTATTAGTACAGTTAGTCTTTTTCAAGTGCTATTCAAGATGCAGCAGTAAGTGGGTACAAGCCACAGTTTATTTCTGCGTTCTAGTTGAAACAGTTTAAAAAATCATACTGCGTTTAATTAAAATCCTGTATCAGCCAAGGCTTCTAATGTTACTTTGCATGTGGTCACATTCTTGATGAGACTATGTCTTGTTCTTGGTCTGTCAGCATTAAGGCGAAGCAATACAACTGAAAAAAACCCCTAATGTACTAAACACCTCTGCTACAAGACTGTCACTAACTGTAGGTGGCTTGAATAGGTACTCATCCTTAATGTATTTTCCTGATCTTTCTTAGAGATGATTTAATTATAACTACAAAGATGCCTTTTTGATTTGCTGTGTTGATAGCTACTTACGAAACTGGCTTTTTCCTGTGGACAGCCATGCTCTTACCCTGAAATAACTTGGATGTTATTTTGAAGCTGTATTACAGACTTGTAGCTGTATCTTGGTAATTTCCTGAAAGTTATCTCTTTTCCTGCTACATAAAATAGTTAACAGTTTCAGCAAGGACAGACTGAGAATCAACTGACTTGATACCTTCCCGTATATGTGACCAAACAGCCTCAGTGTACAAACGTCAGAGAAGGCAAGGAATGTTATAACTGCTCTTAAAATTAAGAGTTCAGGAAATAACTTCATTTAATTTCTGTTTGGGTACTGTAGCTGTAAAAATGCCTTCCTAGGGACTGAAAATCTAATGAAGATACTGAAAAGTGGAGATAAGTGTGTCTTTGTAGCAAGGAGACCTTGTACCAGAGAGATTTGAACTTTGCTTTTGTTTTTCGTGACAGTTATGGCAGACTGTCCTCACACAATTGGTGTTGAATTTGGGACAAGAATAATCGAAGTTAGTGGCCAAAAAATTAAACTACAGATCTGGGATACAGCAGGACAAGAGAGATTCAGGGCTGTCACACGAAGCTACTACAGAGGAGCAGCGGGAGCTCTCATGGTCTACGACATTACCAGGTAAGGTGCATCTTTGGGTACCACAGCCTTGTTTGTGCTGTCCTGTCTGTCCTCTTGCCTTGGATTTAAAGGTCTTGATCTCTGGATGGATTTTTATCCTGTTGTGTGACTCTTGCCACGGTTCTTTATGTAAATACTTTTAAAGTATTTAAAAAGCTGAAAATGAAACACAGGGACTTGTGTGAGCTGCTTTTCCTGGAAAACTTCACTGTGGACAGACGTGAGGATGTTACTGCTTCAGGCCTTGGCTACCTGTGTTGAAGCTGTTTAAAGAACTGGCTTTGCCCTTCAGATCTACTCTTCAGTACATAGATTTTTTTTTTTTCTCTTGCTGGGAGGCAATGGAGATGTCTCTGATTACGTGGCAGGAATAGTCTCAGGAGATGCAGGACAGCAAGTTGCCTCTGTTGCAGGGGGCTGTGTAAAGGTGCTTAACAGACACTGGACAGATGAGAACGTTGCAGAAGTCTGGGCCTTTTCACGGGCTACTGTAACAAAAGGAGGCTGCATAGAAGCTATCATGAACATTAAAGATGTTGCTAAAAGAACAGTTGATCAGATGTGCAATGTGAAATACTTTTTGCCTCCGCATGTCTCCCATTTTCCTCTGGGGCTCTTCTTGATACTCTTTACGTACCTTTGCTTGTCTGCATATACAGGTATATCTCCTGTTTGTTTAAATTTTGAGTAAAACATAAATAATCTCATGCACTGCTTGTAACCAATGTGCTATTCTACTGTCTGGTGTTCTGTAAGAGTATTTGACAGGAAATCCTTTAATGTGTTCTGTATAATACAATATCCTTCTTGCCCTTTTGAAGACAGTACAGCTCCTGCATACACGGAGTGCAGCTTGGTGTGACGTGTTGAAATGCTGGTCTGAGCTCAAATGAGACGCTGCTGCTTGTGTTTGAGGCTGGGGAGGAGAAGAGGGATGGTGGACGTTAGTGTGTTTAACGGATGCTGCCTATGCTGTTGGCACTTACATATTTTTAAAAATACTGTAGCTAAAACTGCTCTCACTTGATTCTTTGCAGAAGAAGTACGTATAATCACTTAAGCAGCTGGCTGACAGATGCAAGGAACCTCACCAATCCAAATACTGTGAGTTGGACTTTATTTAGCTTGAAAGCAAGGTTGCTTGTCTCTAAGTGAGAGGTGGAATGCTTAGGCCAAAGCAGGTGCAGTGGTGGCAGCGTTCTCTTAAATAAGCTACCTCTGTTTTCCTCAACTCCTCAGCTCTTGAGTTACCCTGATGTCCCCACTTTGCATGCACCAGTGACTCTTCCCTCCTCTCTGCAGCTGGAGAGGTGTAGGCTGCTGTGGAGGAAAGCAGGGCTTTCTTCTCAGTCTTCTTGTGCTGCTCACCTTTCTAGGGCAGCCGTTTAATTTGGCAGCAGTTCTCTTCAGCAGTTGGAGACAAAATTGTGATCAACTCTGAACAAACCTTAACTTTTGTTATTAACTTCTTGCTTTGTGGTGGTAGTGAGGTGAATGCAGTCTCATCTTAGACTGGAAAAGAAATTGGATCTCTAGCAAGGGTGCCCAGCTCTTGTGAAGGGATGGGGCAAGAACAGTCTTCTGTGTCTCTGCCCCTACCACAGAACTGTTGTCCTTCGGGCTTTTTCTGACTGACCCTGACTTTAGCACCAAACTCATTGGAAGACTCTTCCATGATGAAAGAAAGCTTTAATCATCTGCTAATCTAGACAGAATGTTTAAAAGAAATATGAGAAGTGGTTCAGGATACAACTCCCATGAATAAAGAGCACAGTACCACTGCTTTTTAGGACTTTTTTGGAAGCAGCAGCTGGAGAGGCTGTTCCTGACTTTCAGAGGGACACTGTCAGAGCAGTGTGTTCCTGAAGATGCATTTAGGGGTTTGCATTTAGACTTTCCTGCATGTTTCCTTGTTGTTTCATCTTTTTAATAAAGAGGGTGATGGTAAAAAAGCTAATAAGCTTTTTCCCACGTTAATTTTTCTCTCTTCTGAACTAGGTGATAATCCTCATAGGAAATAAAGCAGATCTGGAAGCACAGAGGGATGTTACGTATGAAGAAGCCAAACAATTTGCTGAAGAAAATGGTATGTGATAGTGATGTTAAAGTCAATCCTCAGCATTGACAGCTGCAAGCTTACACTGCCAAAGTAATGTAATTCTATGTACAGACTTCTGCTGTCTCTCGAATAGTCTGGCTTAACTTTGACTGTGCTTAGGTCTAGAAATCAGCTTGTGTGCTGATGCCTTCACTTAGTCATAAAATACATTTTAGTACTCAAGCAATGTCTTGCACGTCATCTGACGGTCATGATGTGACTTAGGGCTGTTTGATGTGTACAATGCATTGACTCTTCAACCTCTGTTTCTGAACAGGTTTATTGTTCCTTGAAGCAAGTGCAAAAACGTAAGTGATTTTTGTCTGGAGTAATGATTCAGATGTGATCTGTTTAAGAGGCATATATTGGCTGTGACTGGGTACAGCCACAGGGTTCAGGTATAGTAGGGTTTTACAAGTGGAGGAAAAAAAAAAGACCTTATTTTTGAGCTCTCTTGGAGCACGAGTGGTTTCAGTCATGTCAGATTTGACTTGAAGGTGACTTGGAAATGAGCCCTCTTGCTAACTCGGCCCTGTTTAACCAAAAGATTTGGATGAATAGCAGCTCCCCTGTCTTTCAGCCTCTTCAAACCGCTCTGTGTGTGTGGCTCGGTGCCATAGCTTATTTTTGCTGCTTGGTGTTATGGCACGTAGTTCTTCTTCCTGGCTAGTCCTGACAGCTGTAATGGCTGGGGAGTGACCTGCCCTGGTGAAGGCTGTCCCAGGACAGGTTCTCAAACTCGGGGGTGGCTGCTTGAAGTCCTGTAAGCTCCTCCTGCATTAAGAGTGCAGGGGGGCAACTGCGTCTCCTGGATGGCCTGTCCCATCCCAGCCACGGTGTCACTGCGCTGCTTGACTGGTGTCACCTCAATAACTCACGCTGCTCTCTTCATAGCGGAGAGAACGTTGAGGATGCCTTCCTGGAGGCCGCCAAGAAAATCTACCAGAACATCCAAGATGGGAGCCTGGATCTGAACGCAGCAGAGTCGGGTGTACAGCACAAACCCTCAGCTCCGCAGGGGGGGCGGCTAACCAGCGAACCCCAGCCCCAGAGAGAAGGCTGTGGCTGCTAGTGACCTCCATTCATGGCTCCATTTCTGCCCCTCCACCTCTGTCTGCGGGACGCGGTGCTTTTGACCGCTTCCCTGTCTTCTGTACATCTTCTTGGGTTTAATTAAACTCTTGAGACAAGTTTAACACAGTACTAAACTGCTAAACAACTTTAGATGTAATCAGGTTATCAAAGGCAAGTAGAGTAATAAAACCTCTCCTGCATGGTAAATCTAGATTTTTTTTTTTTCCTTGATTGTCCTTGTGATAGTGTCACCAATGCATAATTTAAACTGAGCACTGATGCTGGACTCATGATTTTACACTTCCGCAGGGCTTTGTCTTGTACGGTTTAATTTGATGGTTCTTTGGCCTTTCTTCCCCGCCTCTGACTGTGTGGAGCTGTCCATAGGAACGGATACGTTTTTGCTGTGAAACGACTTCCGATGGTAGCGAGGGGCTCTGTAACAATGTGCTTTTGTTGAAAGACTTTCCTGTGGGGTGTGTGTTGGGGGTCGGGGTGGGCTGGCGCAGGAGAAACAATCCATTCATTCTCGTGCTCATAGCTTTACATGGGGTTTTTTGCCAATTTTACCCCTTACATCTGTTAACAGAACGTAAATATGTATAAAATTTGAAGGAACTGAGCTAACAGTTAAATACATCCTGTGTATATGATTTTAATGAAGAAAATGATGACTGGCATTCGGACAGTATATCAGGAAATACCAGTTTGTACAGTCTGCCCTGTGACCACGTTGCCCTGTTAGTACAGAGACGGCTGTAGCTGCTGTTCACTACCGCAGGCTCAACTCCTTGGTGTCACCAGTGGCCGTTGCGTGGGGAGCTCTGACCCCGCCGCAAACACTACCACTGGTGGGAGCCATCTGATCCTCGCACTGTGGTGTTTCTCTGCCATTTGATGACCCTGTTCTGTGCAATCAGCAGCGTGCTAACCGCTTTTCTCTTCTGTAAGCGTTCTGCATTCTTGGGCTTCATTGCCTGCCTTGCATCCTACACCAAGGCTGGTTCTCTTGCACATCTTGCGCTTTTCTACCTTGAACTTTTTGAATGGTTGGAGGCTGAACTGGGCAGTTGGAATGATACGCCTGCTCCCTAGGGATTTGTAACTACTGGTGTATTTTTAACAGTGTGGGGGTTTCTTTTAAGGCTTGGGCTTTTTCATCAAGCCTTTGAGTATGTCTGTCATGGGATGACACAGCCCATACTGACCGTATGGAGGGGGTGTTTCAGGTGGTGACTGCACATGTGGGTGTCACTGAACATGTGAGGGATTTGCTGTTGTCAGGTGAAAATGCGTGGCTCTGTGCAGCATGTTTGTACCTCACGTGAGGTGTCACACGGTTTAGAAACAGAAGGGGGTCAGTGCTTCCCCATGATCAAATGTCCAACTTCAGTCTTACTGCAGTGTTTCAAATACAAAGTAGTCTGAAAATCCTCTCTAGACACTAAAACTACACAATGTTCAGGCTTGTAAGTAACCAGTGGTACCAGAGTCTTGTACAGTCAATGTTAAATAAAAGCCAAAACTGGAATGTGCAGACAATAGGATTTGGGTAACTTGTGCACTGTCCCTCTGTTTTGTCTGGTTAGTCCTTTTTTTAACTAATACTCTTAAGTACATGGGTATGTTCAAGATCTACAGCTAACGCATCCTGCTTAACCGAGGTTGCACCACCAAGGGTTTGCCCTGGGACCATGACCTGCTGCTGGTGTGAAGTTGATGTTGTAATGACTACAGCTTGTTGAGGTGCAATACCTGTACTCCAGTCAGTTACAGTAGGTCTTCCTGTTTCTCACAGAAAGGATCTGTTTGGACTGCTGTACTCCTCATTTGGTGTAACAATGCTATTAATCTCAATATTTGTAAATAAAGTACCTGTATCTAGATGAACCACAGTGGCTTGTGTTATTTGCTTGTGGGGGCTTGAGCCCTGGAGCTGCAGTTTGGGCTGTTCCTCATCTCCTTGGGCCCCTCCTCAGAATGATCTGAGCACCCCAGGGGTATGGGGGAAATCCTCCTCCAGCTCTGGCCTGTCCGCTCTCTACACTTTGAGTATCTCTGGGTCGGAACAGGGAAATAACGCCCAGCAACTGCATGCTGTAGCAAGATTAATAATTTTGATTCACAGGTAACTGGATTTTTGAGGATTCCAACGAGATTCCCTCATTTCCATCGTCCTGCGGTACACTGGCAACAGAACAAACTGCAGTTGATCAGTTTAAGTACAGGAGGTGGCCAAGTTTAGTTAGAACATACCTGTTGCTCTCCCTTCAAGCAGTTCAAGGCCACAGAAACAAACAGAGCTCACTTCTGACCTGGGAGGAGGTGAATTACGGTCAAACAACTCACAAACCCAATGCCATCTGCTTGTGGTTTGAACATCACATCCCTTGAGGTTAGAACACTTTTTAAACAGTCTTGACAATGTCACCAGCTGGGTATAAATGGAACTGATGACTTCTTTAGGCTCAGCTCTGGCAGTGCATGTCCAAGCAAGAGGAAATGCTCATCAGAGGAAAACAGCAGACAGAAGGCACCCTTCACAGCCTGAAGCGCCAGGTTGATGTGCTGGATGACCTGGTCAGCAGCACGTCTTCACATTCACTGTTTGTGGCCCAACGCTCAAGCCTGGCAGCTCTTCACGATGCTGTGAATGTAACTAAAACACAGGTAATCCGCTCCTGCGCACAGGAATGCTGGTGTGGGGTTGTTTTTTAATAATGTTTAGCTTGCTGGTAAGCTGTTGCAGCCCCATGCTCACCGTTCTGGAGGCACTGCAGGGGTCTGCTGAAGGTGGGGTGATGGCGCTGTATACTTGGGTACTCTGGCAGTAGCCAACTTGTTTGAAAAGGATAGGTTTTCCTCAACGTTGTTTGGTTTCCTTTTTACTTTGTCACACCTTTTATTCTTTACAATCCAAATTTTTCCTTGTTTTTTGAAGACTAATGTATCTCTGCTGACTGAAGACATTAGTTTATTACTCAGACTCAGTTTTACTGCTTTTCCCAGGCTGCTCTGATGAGACAGGCCCACGTCCCAGCACTGTCTCGGATGGTGCATCCCAGCTGACGAGGAATTTCCCAGTAAAGCCCAGAGGTGAGACATCACTTCAGCTCTGCTGGAACCTCCCAGAGTTAAGGGTGTCCTGAACATTGCAGTTTTGTAGTGGTAGCCATGGGGTGGGAGGGTGGGTGCAGGGCCGTTCTCAGACTGTGTTGCTTCTTTCTTGGGGTTTGATGCTGTTTTGGTTCTTAGTTGTGAGTTTTCAAACAAGTTGTGGGTGAAGCTCTCTGTGCTGTGGAGAAATTACTGCTGTGGTGACCAGCTGAAACACTGAGCTCCTGCTACCCTTGATTGTTCAGGAATGCTTTCAATATATGGATTGCCTAGCATCTCCACTTCAGTTTCAGCTGCTTTTGAGACTGGCCTGGTACTTGACCAGGACACAGCCTCTGCAGCTGGAAATACAGCACAACCGTGGGCCAGAAACACTGGGGTCAGCTCAGCACAGCTCCAGGGCTATGGGTGCCATCAGTCACCGCTGTCACAGACCCCTCTACCTCACTGCTCTGCCAGCCTCAGAAAAGGCAGTGTCAGCACTGACCAACAGTGGACTGCGAAGGTTCTGTATGATTGAGTAACTGAGCTTTATGTATAGATGTTTTTAAAAAAATAGATTTAAAATGGATTGAAGTGTGTCCAAAACACAACCTCTCCTCCTTCAGGGCAGGTATGTGTCACTTAACTCTGTCCCTTGTTACAAGTTTTGGTCTCAGAGGAGTCAGTTTCCCTGTTGTTAATGCATGGATGTTGACATAGTTCTTTTTGAGAATTTCCTTGAAATAAACTTTACTGACTGCTGCAGACTTTTTTATCCAGGACTGCGTGTGTGTTTTGTTAGGGTTTTTTCCCCCCAGCCCTCTCACTCCTGTCTATGGAGTCAGGCTTGGACATCACTCTCCAACTTGTAATCCACATTATGAATGCAAACCTTTCTCTGCACTGAGTGTCAAGGAACATTTCTGGGCTCTGGAAGAGCCTGGAAGCCTCCTCTTGTGAGCAGCCTGAGGTTTTTACCACTTCAAAAGTCCATCCTAGAGGTTAACCACAAACAGCTGAAGCACAGATACCATCACTACAAGGAATTCCTGTGTAATTCTGGGTAGTTCTCACATTCAGTTCAGGGAGATGATTTTCTTCAGCCCAGGCCTGACTGGAGGGGAGAAGCAGCACCTGCTTGGCCACCTGCGGAGATGAGGAACAGCCCAAACTGCAGCTCCAGGGCCCAAGCCCCCACAAGCAAATAACAGAAGCCACTGTGAGTCAGGTACTTTACTGACAAATATTTAGATTAATAGCATTGCAGACCAGTGAATCAGGAGAACCCACACAACAGGATTTCTTCAAGTTCAAAGGCAGAAACAGCCTTAAACAGAAGCAGCCAGAGCTGTTGTGCAGCACAATCTAGAAACACCAGAGGTGGGCTGCCTCAAGTTCTGTCTGGTCATGGAGTTCATGTGTTACTTTGTTCCTCTTACGATCAAAACAGGTGTTTCATCATTTTGCTGTTGAAAGATGACCCAAATCCCCAGGCATTCTCCCCTCAGCTGGGACTAACACAGAGTTTTCTATCACAGAATCTCAGACCGTTAGGGATTGGA